GCGACCTTCGTGCAGACATTTAGGTTTGTGCTTTGCTTTGTTTTCTTGTTTGGTTCTTCACTGCAGGGTGGCCTTTCCCTGCTTCTGGGTGGGAACTGGGGGGAGGGAGGATGGTTTGCTCCCATCTCCACAGCTGTGTTTACACTTCTCTGTCAGGGACCAGTGTGGGGCCCAATCTTCCCTCAGTCCTCTGTGTCCCCTCTAAGAATTACTATTTAATATCTCTGTGGGCTTTACAAAGGAGGGGCAGAATGGGCCAAGGGGGCACCATTCAAAGGAGCTCAGGTTGTCAGGTTGGAAGGAAGGAATAGTGTACAAAGCCCCGAGTCTGGGAAACATCTTCTCCTTCCCTTTAAAAAAAAAAAAAAATATATATATATATATATATATATATATATACATATATATATATATATATATATATATATATATATTAGTTGTAATTAGAAACAATACTTTTATTTCACTTATTTTTGTTTATGTGGTGCTGAGGATTGAACCCAGGGTCTCACAAGTGAGAGGCGAGCACTCTACCACTGAGCCACAACCCCAGCCCTTCTCCTTCCCTTTCTACCAGTGGCCTGAGGACCAGCAGAGGATGAAAGTACACTTAGAACTCGGACATCCCAGAAAGATTAGAACATGTGATGTGTCATTTCTAATCACTGGGTTGAACAAAATCTTGCTTTGTGATGAGGATATGAGCACACAGAGATGGGAGTCTTTCCTCCAGCTTCATTATGGCCCGTGGTCAGAGATAACAACATGTTAAAGCCAGTCAGAGTATGCTAAAACACAGCAAATTAAAAAGGATTTAAGAAAACAATCCAGTAAATAATGCTCTTCTCCAGGGAACAAGTTGAGCTGGTATTAATCAGTATACTAATGTTGCCGGACTCTCAGCCAAGCCCAAGAAAAGGGCTGCCAAGGCAAATCAGGCATTAGGTTTCAGAAATTAAACACATAATTTTATTTTTCCGCAATAGAGGACTTTCAAAAAAGGAACCAGTCCTATTAGACTACTCAGCACACTTTGTCCAGTTTCTTGCAGCCCCAGAGGCCTCCAATTTAAGAGCAAGATGAGCAAGGAGAAGCCAAGAGTGACACAGTTATTCCTTTCTTCCATTAACTGCCTGGGGGTGGAGCTGGGAGGAGTGGGGCAGAGGTGATGGTACTGTTTTTTAGAGGTCCTGTTGCTGACCACTTGCCAACAGCTTTTCTACGAATTTATAGGACAAAGACCTGAAGGATTGGAAAGAAAAAGAGATGCAGAGCAAAAGCTCGCCAAACAAACGTTGGCTGATAGTGCCTCGTGGAACAGAGTCAGCTAAGAAAGAGCCTGGTCTCAGGAAAAACTGTCTCCCTGCAAAATGAGAGGAAATTAACTGGCAAACAAAACTTCCCTCAAAAACCCCATACCTAGCCAGGCTTAGTGGAATGTGCCTGTAGTCCTAGCATTTGAGAGGCTGAGGCAGGGCGATGCCTTGAATCCAAGAGTTCGAGGCCAACCCAGATAACATAGTGAGACCTGTTTTTCAGAAACAAAAACAAAACCCACACTCACTGTGATGTAAAAGTTGTTTTTATAATTCTTCAGTGAATGAGGATTACTGAATTCTGTTTAATCTTATGCCACATATTATGGTGGATATGAAATAGGTAGAATGCGTGGCAGTAAGTGTAAAGTAGAACTGGAGTTGAAGCCTTAGGAAGGACCATGAGGGCAGGACTGCTGGTATTGTGTCCACTTAAAAAAAAATTCTGTAACCATACTTTCTTTGTTATCTTAAAAGTTCTCTGTACCTCTGCTCTCTTTTCTTGTCACAGTCTCCCAAAGTAATGGAGTACCCCTGTGGTTTCAGTTACTATTAATATATTGATGGTACTCAAATCTCTCACCAATCTCTCTCCTGACTTTCAGATTTTCTAGACTCTCCTTAGAAAACCCACATTCTTCTAATAATTATTAATGCAGTGCAACAGTTATCAAACTTGGCTACATGCTATAATCACTTGGAATGTTTATGTAATTCTTGAAACCTAGGCAATACCTGGGATCAAATAATAATTAATCAGACTTTCTGGATATGGGAAGCAGGCCTCAGTAGTTATTAGAGCTCTGTAGGTGATTTCAATGTGATCCTAGTTTGAGAAACACTTATCTAGGCAGTGGAAATGGAAAGGAACATCATTGCAAATTACAAGTACAATATAAAGGAGTAATTGTTTTGACTGGTAGTTAAACAAATAGATGCAAGGAGGATAGTAGCAAAATCAAAGATTTTGATATACTGACAAGAATAGTATATCTGGAATCCAGAGATTTGAGTCTAAGACCTGACAGGGCAATTTTTCAACTGTGTAAGTCACATCATTTAACTCCCTTTTTGCCCGCATAGCCTGCTATGTAAAACTGAAATCTGCCCTACCTACTTCTTAAAATTGTCATGAAAATTATTTGAAAAAAAAAGAAAATCATAAATTTTTATAATTATACACTTTGGGACAAAAATCAAGGTAGTTTTGTTTTGTATTTATTTATTTATTTATTTTCAGTATTTAGGATTGAACCCAGGGATGCTCTGTCACTGAACTATACCCTCAGTTCTTTTTCTTGTCTTTTTTTTTTGGTACCAGGAATTGAACTCATGGGCACTTGACCACTGAGCCACATCCCAGCCCTATTTTGTATTTTATTTAGAAACAGGGTCTCATTGAGTTGCTTAGTGCCTCGCTTTTGCTGAGGCTGGCTTTGAACTTGGATCCTCCTGCTTCAGTTTTTTGAGCCCCTCAGTTCCTTTTACTTTTTTTTTTAAATATTTACTTTTTAGTTTTAGGTAGACACAATATCTTTATTTTATTTTTATGTGGTGCTGAGAACCGAACCCAGTGCCTCACGCATGCTAGGCAAGCGCGCTACCACTTGAGCCACATCCCCAACCCTCCTTTTACTTTTTTGAGACAGGGTCCCTCTGAGTTGCTGAGGCTAACCTCAAACTTGGGATCCTCCTGTCTCAGCCTTCTGAGTAGCTGGGAACACAGGCATGTACCACTGTGCCCAGATTAATTTCAAAATTTAACTTCATATATACACATGTATGCATATATATGTGTATGTGTGTGTGTGTGTATATATATATATATATATATATATATATATATAAAATGTATAAATACATATTTTTGTGTGTGTGTTTGTGTGGTGTTCTACCACTGAGCTACATCCCCAGCTCTTTTTATTTTTTATCTTGAGAAATAAAAATAAGTTTCACTAAGTCGCCCAGGCTGGCCTCAAACTTGTTATCCTCCTGTCTCAGTCTCCCTAGGAGCTGGGATTACAAGAATGTGCTAAGCAACCCAGCTTAATATTATTTTTTAAAATAATTTTCACATTTACAAAATAATTAGAAAAAAGGGACAGTAATCCTGTATATTTTTTCACCTAATTTCCTTACACAAATGATCCAAATGAGGAATTAAAACTGATTTTAAAAACCCTATTAATCTAGAGGCCTAATTCTAACTCCATCAAATTATCCCTCTCATGTCCTTTTTTTTTTTTTTCCTTTTCCTGTAGTTGTATATGGACAGCATACCTTTATTTGCTTATTTTTGTATGCAATGCTAAGGATGGAACCCAGTGCCTCACACATGCTAGGCAAGTGCTCTACCACTGATCCACAACCCCAGCCCAATCTTGGTACTTTTGAAGATACTGGTCAATTATTTTGTAGATTGTTTCTCATTTTTGAATTTGTCTGATGTTTCTGCATTAAACTCAGCTCTCACTTTTTATTTGCTTATTTTTTGTTTGTGGTCCTAAGGATAGAACCCAGTACCTCACGCATGCTAGGCCAGTGCTCTGCCCCAGCCCCTCCGCTTTTACATTTTTGTGAAGAATACCGCGGGAGTGATTTTGTACTTTCCTCATTGCACTATATTGAGAATCTGCTAAGAAATTTCCCTTCACTAGTGATATTAACTTTGATCACTTGGTCAAAGTAATGTCTGACAGATTTCTGTAAAGTTATAAAATTTCCCTTAGTAACTAGTAAATATCTTGTGAGGAAATACTTTGATACAAGGCTATACGTTTGATTTTAAGTGACTGGGAGAACTATTGACAGAAACAGGGAAATAAGGCGTAAATAGAGCAAGAACTTAGAGCACATAAGTTTGCAGAATTGGTAGGTGTGTGGCATCTGTTTGAGGGGGTTCTAGCTTGCCTTCAAAGGTGAAGTTAGATGTGGCTAGTCCCCAGCAGGGCTGGAAAAGATCTTCGAGAGATGTTATTAGTGGCTGTGGAAAGTTTACACAAAACCCTTCCTCTCCACTGACAGCGCCACCTTAGAAATCGTCAGGTTTGGGCTGCACCACCATGCCCTCCCGAGCCCTAGCAACCTGAGGCCAAATAGACGTTTTCCTTCTCCGGATCTCTCCGCTTAATATCAAAGGAGGAGGACCAGGTGGGCAACCGGAGCGGCACTGGTGGCTCGACGCGCACGCGCCTAAGAGGGCGCGGGGCGGGGCCGCGGCGCGGAGGCGGGGCCGCGGCGCGCAGGCGTCCTAGCGGCGGGTCCCTGTGGCTCGGGATGGAGGGTGAGTGAGTAAACAAGCCCGGGCCGGGTGGTGGGGCCGGCCTCCGCACACCGCCGCCGCCGGGTCTGGAGGGAGGGAAAGGCGAAGTGATCTGGGAATCGGGAGGAACCCGAGGGATACACTACCTGCCTGGCCGCGGGTAGCAGGGCTCCTCTTCCCGTTCCGGGGTCTAGGGGACCGGGGGCGACAGAGTGAGAGAGCCCCCAGCGAGGACTGCGTCTGAGACTGGATGGGCTGTGTGTCCTGAAGGGGGAGCGGCGGGGGCGGGCCCCGAGACGGGGAATCCCGTTGGAAGGAGGGGTGGGCCGGTGGGCGGGAGCCCCAGCGCAGAGTGGGCCCGGGTGGGCGGTGGCACCTGCGGGGGCCTTTTAGCGAGGTGGACTCCCGGGGATCTGGGGCTGTGCACGGGAAAGCCCAGAGACCTGGGCTGAGCTTGCGATGTCTTTGGGGGATGTTGAGGAAGGGATGGCAGTAAAAACAGGGCCGGAACTACAGCGAGGGGAGTGAGGCTAAAGAGCAAAGTGTAAGCGGGCAGTGACTCTCAGCATACTGCAAGTGCAGAGAGAACCCTTCCTTACATTTTGCCTTCCAGGAGCTTCTCTGGCCTCATCTGCCTTATTCCAAACCCAGCCCTGAATAAGAAGCTTCCTAACCTCCAGACTTAGGCTGGCACCAATTGCGCCCACCCAGAGGCTTCTCCCGAGGATCAAATGATATAAGTGAAAGTGCCTTGGAGCAGAGTAAAGCTGTCATATTTGGGACAAGCCCGTTAGAAAATGTAGGCCAAACTTTTATTTCGGTAAAAAAGTGACTACTGAGAAATTGTTTGGGGGACAGGGAGGAGAAGTGGTGTGAAAGGATGCCGCCATTGGAATATGGAGGGTGGACCTTTGATGGGTAAAATACAAGATTATAAGCAGAGCAGCCTAGATCTGAAGCCTAGGGCTTGGCGGGGAAAGATGAGAGAAAAGGGTCACGGACAGGAACAACTGGGTGGGCCCAAGGATGGAGTTGAAAGTGTGAGTCTTTCTCTAGTTTTCTACTCTGAATAGAAAAATGCTCCACTCGGTGATCTTAAGATAAGGAAACCAGTATTGAATTAAGTTTCCAGCCTGAGAAAACTCTAATTCTAAGGTTTCTGTAAGAGCTTGTCTGTTTTTAAAAAGCCCTGGGATTCTGTGTGGCATTGAGGAAAGAGATGACAGACTTACATAGAAGAGAGTGTGAGTAAGGAGATAAGTACTTAAAAACAAATAAAGACAGAATAAGGGGCTGTGGGAAGCCATTCTTGCACGTGATTGGGCACCTCCCTGATTGGGTGTGAGGCGTTCTGGCTAAACTGTGTGGGAACTAATCCCCACCCTTTCTAGGTGCTAGAGCCCATCCGTGTGGGGGTGTGACTGACCATTGACCCTGAGACCAATTGCTGACCCTGACCTTGGAATGCTGTCCCCCTCGACCTTCATTGGATGGAATTTTCCCCTGAATTTCTTGTTCCCCAATAAAAGGCCACTCCCTGGCTGCTCTCTCTCTCTCTCTCCTGCTAGTCTGTGTAAACCTCGCTGCCCCACCAGGTGGCTTGAGGCAGGAGCCAGAGGGGAGAGCCATTTCAGACCTGGTCAAACAAAAAGGTAAATTGAGTTTGTGTGTTTATTTTGATCTCACTAGTTAACTTCTATGCTTCGAACCTCTAGTATGAAGCCAGCGTGCTGGTTGCGAGGTGGAAGGGGCCATCCATAATACTATTATGGGCAAGATTCATGTGTGGCCAGGCGTAGGTGGCCCAGGCCTCTAATCCCAGCGACTGGGGAGGCTGAGGCAGGAGGATCGCATTCAAAGCCAGCCTCAGCAAAGGTGAGGCGCTAAACAACTCAGTGAGACCCTGTCTCTAAATAAAATACTGGGACTGGGGTTGTAGCTCAGTGGTTGAGCTCTTGCCTGGCATGGGTGGAGCACTCGGTTTGATCCTCAGCACCACATTAAAAAAATAAAATAAAATAAAGATATTGTGTCTATCTACAATTTAAAAAATATTTAAATAATATAAAATTCAAAAATAGGGCTGGGAATGTGGTCAGTGCCTCTGAGTTTAATCTGTGCCCCCCCCCCCAAAAAAAAAGAAGATCCATGTATGGTGTATCACAGTGTGAATCAGTTCTGCAAAAAGCAAGAATGTTTGTTTTATTCACTGATGTATACCCAACCACCTAAATAGTGCCTGGTGTGTAGTTAGTAAGTGCTTAATATGTATTTGTGGAATAAATAATAGTAATAACATTTTTGGGACTGGAACTCAAGAGATAATGGATCCTAGTTCTGCCACGGAACAAGTATATGTGAGCCATTCCTGGAAGTTGATGCTAAAGCACAGCTTAAAAATTCTGAAGTGTAAACCTGGTGCAGTGGCACTTGTCTACTTGGGAGGTTGAGGCAGGAGGATTGTAAATTGAAGGACAGCCTCTGCAACTTAGTAAGACCCTATCTCAAAATAAAAAATGAAATGCGCTGGGGATGTAGCTCAGTGGTTAAGCTCAGTGGTAGAATGTTCCTAAGTTCAATCTTCAATACAAAACAACAACAAACTGTGAGGCAGGGGATGGACATATGGAGAAATGTGAAGATAATTATACCTGATAGGTGAAAAAGGAAGAACTGTGCTCTTAGGGAATACCTCCATACAGGAACGTTCCAGCTTATTTTGTTTGTTTTCTTTCATCCACACTGTGTTCTGGGTTCTTTCCTACCTTTGTAGCCCATCAGTGACCATCATTTGGGACTTCAGTGCTCCAAATCCTAAAGTCAAAAGTTGCTTAGTAAGTAGTTGGCGTTTAGTGCTTCTGATAAGTTATATTCCCTGACTCATTTATCCTAATAATTTGATTCAAAATTGACTGAAGAGTCTTGATTTTATTTATTTATTTTTAGAGAGAAAGAACTTTTTAATATTTATTTTTTAGTTTTCAGTGGACACAACCTCTTTATTTTTTATTTGTATATGGTGCTGAGGATCAAACCCAGTGCCCCGCGCCTGCCAGGGGAGTGCGCTACCCCTTGAGCCACATCCCCAGCCCTTGCTTTAATTTTTTTTTTTTTATATTTATTTTTTAGTTTTCGGCGGACACAACATCTTTGTTTGTATGTGGTGCTGAGGATCGAACCCGGGCCGCACGCATGCCAGGCGAGTGTGCTACCGCTTGAGCCATATCCCCAGCCCTTGCTTTAATTTTTTAATGTTTTTTTTTTTTTTTACTTACTTCTTTGATAATACTAGGGATTAAACAAAAGGCCTTGCAGTTGCTAGGCAAGCACTATGCCACTGAGTACATCCCCAGCCCCACTCTGTTTTTATTGAATGAAAATGAGCAGTCACTAAATATTAAGCTTTGTGCTGGTGTAGTACAGCCAAGGTAGGGCTCTCACATGAGATTGCTTTAACTTCTCTAAATCAGCACTGTACACCCCAAGAGCTAGCATTTTCCTCTGGGTCTCCAAAAACTAATCTTACTTTGAGTTTTCTCATCACTATCTCCAGTGCAAATGACCTGATTCTCCTAATGAAACAACTCTAGAGAATATTAGTGTTATTATTTGATTTTAAGTTAGAATTCAGGGTCACAGTTTCCTATTAGTAAGGTTCTTTATGTGTGTATAGTGCCCAGAAGCTCAAACTAATGACAAATGTAAATATCTTGCAGAATTGGGAGGGTATATATTTAAAAATGCTTAATAGCTCCTAATTGAGGGATCTATCCAGCTGTGTACCTCGTTGCAATTATTTAATAGGAATGTTGATGAAATTGATGATCATCATAATGACACAGTTAAGTCACTAGAGCTCTTTGCCGAGGTACCACTGAGCTATATCCCTAACCCAGTATATAGTTTATGGATGATTTTTTTTGTTCCCCTGAGAATAGTACTTTTGAGATGTGTTGTGCATGTAATAGGAATTGTTTATCCTTTTTAATTGCTGAGTAGTATTTCACTGTGTGTGTGCGTGTGTGTGTGTGTGTATGTGTGTGTATATATATATATATATATATATATATATATATATATATATTCCATCTTGTATCCATTAGCCAATGTATTCATCTTTGTGTTTACCTACTTTTGGCTATTTTAAATAAAGAGGCTTGAACATTTGTGTATAGATCTTTGCAAGGATGTATGCTTTCATTTCTCTCAGATAATTGGAAATGTTATATATAATCTTATATTTAGCTTTACTTATTTATTTTTTTGTGGTACTAGGGATTGAACCCAGGGGCACTCTACCACTGAGCCCTACATCCCAGCCATTTTTATTTTTTATTTTGAGATGATCTTGCTAACTTGCTGAAGCAGGTCTCAAACTTGAAATCCTGCTGCCTCAACCTCCTACTGTGTCCAGCTTTAATTTTATTTTAGAAATAAAAACTGGGAGACTGTTTTGCATAATGGCTATGCCATTTTGCCTTTCCACCAGCAATATATGAGGATTCCACTTGCTCCAGCATTTTTGCTGTTGTGACTAAAGGACCCAGCCAGCACAATTATAGAGGAGAAAAGGTTTATTTGAGGGCTCACAGTTTCAGAGGTCTTAGTCCATAGATGGCTGGCTTTATTTCTCGGGGCTCCAGGTGAGGCTGAACGTCATGGCGGGAGAGTGTGGCAGAGGAAAGCAGCTCACATCATCAGGAAGCAGAGCAAGAATTCCACTTGCCAGATACAAATATATACCCCAAAGCCTAATTCCCACCTTCTCCAGCCCCACCCTACCACTTCAGTTACCACTCAGTAAATCCCTATCAGGGGATTAATTCACTGAGTGGGTTAAGACTCTCACAATCCAATAATTTCTCCCCTGAACCTTCTTTCATTGAGCTTTTGGGTGACACCTTACATACAAACCATAACAATGTTCCCACCCACAACTGGTATTATCAGTCTTTTCTATTTTTGCAAATTTAATTTGCATTTCTCTAATGGCTAATGATGTTGAACATCTTTTTTTGTTCTTATTTGCCATTTCTGTCTTTTTTTTTTTTTTTTAAATTTTTGGTACTTGTACAGGGTTTTGGACTCAGAGGCACTTTACCATGAGCCACATCCCCAGCCCTTTTTATTTATTTTATTTTATTTTTAGTTGTAGATGGACATAATATCTTTTTATTTAATTTTATGTGGTGTGGTGCTGAGGGTCAAACCCAGTGCCTCACACGTGCTAGGCAAGCACTCTACCACTGAGCTACAACCCAGGCCCTATGTTTTATTTTATTTTTTTAAGATTTTTTTTAAGATGGACACAATATCTTTATTTATTTAATGAATTTATTTTTTTATGTGGTGTTAAGGATGGAATGCAGTGCCTCACATGTGCGAAGGCAAGTGCTCTACCGTGAGCCACAACCCCAGCCCCTCTGAGCTCTTTTTATTTTTTATTTTGAGACAGGGTCTTGCTAAGTTGCTGAGACTGGCCTTGAATTTATGATCCTCCTGGCTCAGCCTCCCAAGTCACTGCAATTGCCTCTGCACTTGGCATTCCTAACTTTTTTGGAAAAGTATCTGTTCAGTGTTTCCCTGTTGGGGGTTGGGGATGTGGCTCAAGTGGTAGAGCACTGGCCTGGCATGTGTGAGGCACTGGGTTTGATCCTCGGCACCACATAAAAATAAAATAAGGATATTGTGTCCACCTAAAACTAAAAAATAAATATTAAAAAAAAAGATCAATAATGTTTCCCTGTTGGGCTATTTATCTTACTCTTAGAATTGGTAATATAAAGATTCATGCCCCAGGGCTGGGGTTGTGGCTCAGCGGTAGAGCACTCACCTAGCATATGCAGGGCTCTGGGTTCGATCCTCAGCACCACATAAAATTTAATAAATAAATAAATAAAATAGAGGTATTGTGTACAAAGCAAAAAAAAAAAAAAAAAAAGACTCATGCCCCAAACAGCATATGTTTTGGTGTTTTGTCTTCAATGTACAAATGAATATAACGAAAGGCTCATCAGTACTTAACTGGAATATAAGTGCTGTTTTGCATATTTAAATAACTAAAAACTAGTTCTAATAGAAATATGAAGTGTTTTTATGTGTGTGCTATTCCCTTTGCCCAAGATGGATGACCCCATTTGTCTCCAGAGTGTTCTAGTGAATGTTGATTTTTTTTATTTGCCTTTTTTTTTTTTTTACTTTGATATGATAGTTGTTGGTTAGGATCCAGATGCTGTGACATCTTATGGCTGTGTTTATTTTAATCATATCCATCTGTTCCCTACAGTATATTTCATCTTCCTCAAACACCCTTTGGGGACTGACCAACTGCCAAATAAACTTTTAGAGACATTGAAGACCCATTAAAAAGCCAAGTGAAATAAATATTGACTCATGGACACAAAACATTCAAATATTGCTTTAATTGTAAAAGGAGGAAGTATGGCTTATTTTACAATGTGACTGGTTAAAACTTAATGGCATTTTAGTGTATATATATATATTCCTCTGGCCAAATAAAACACTTGAGAGAAATTAGAAATGGTGACATTTAATTGTTGGATTATTATGATGTGTTTGCTGTCATCTATATTGTAGGAGATCACATTTCAGTTATAACTCCTTTATTTAATAAAAGTATTGATATTTTCCTGTGGCCATTTCCTCTAAGAAATCTACACAGACACCCAGCAGCTATGGATAGAATAAGTTCATTTCTTACTTGATCTCCAGTTTTTTTTTTTTTTTAATATTTATTTTATTTTTTTCATTGTTTTCGGCGGACACAACATCTTTGTTTGTATGTGGTGCTGAGGATCGAACCCGGGCCGCATGCATACCAGGCGAGCGTGCTACCGCTTGAGCCACATCCCCAGCCCCGATCTCCAGTTTTAAATGGATGGAGCACTCTGCTCTAAGTTTGCTGTTTTAAAAAGAGAAATCAATCCAAAAGGACTGACTGAGAGAGGGATTGTAGTTCAAAATAATTTTTGTGTTTTTTTGGGTGGGGGGACCCAGGATTGAACTCAAGGACACTCGACCACTGAGTCACATTCTCAGCCCTATTTTTTGTATTTTATTTAGAGACAGGATATCAGTGAGTTGTTTAGCTCCTCACTTTTGCTGAGGCTGACTTTGAACTTATGATCCTCCTGATTACAGACGTGCACCATCCAGTCTGGCTCTCAAAACCATTTCTTAAAGGAGGTTGTGTTGTTTCTGTGAGTTATAATTTATAACAATTGGGTCATTGGGTCTTAGGTAAAGTAATATAAGACTTTTTTCTTTTCTTTTTTTTTTTTTTTTCCCTCACAGTAATGGGGACTGCCACTGAGCTACATCCCAATTCTTTTTATTTTTTAATTTTGAGACAGAGTCTGGATAAACTGCTAAGGCTAGCCTCAAATTTATGAATCTCCTGCCTCAGCCTCCAAATTGCTGAGATTATAGGCCTGCAGCTATAATCTGTTATCTAGTTAGCCTAAGATTTCTGAGAGAGCTAGTTTTATCCTTAATTTGAAACATATTTCATTTCCTGTATCAGACTACTAGTAAGTTTTTGAAGGCAGAAGTTATGTGAACAATCACTTAATACTACCTGTGATTATGAGGTATGGCCTTTTCCTGTGTGTATTGGCACCAAGGATTGAACTTGAGCCTTGTACATGCTAGCCAAGGGCTCCAGCACTGAGTACCATCTCTGGACCCTATTTATTTATTTATTTGTTTATTTGGTACTGGGTATTAAACCCAGAGGCGCTTAACCAGTGAGTGACATCCCCAGCCCTTTTTTCATATTTTTATTTAGAGACAGGGTCTTGCTAAGTTACTTTAGGGCCTTGCTAAATTGCTGAGGCTGGCTTTGAACTTTAATCCTCCTGCCTTAACCTCCCAAGCTGCTGGGATGACAGGGTGTTGCTATGTTATCGCCCAGGGTGGTCAGGAACTTCTGAGCTCAAGTGATCCCTCTGCCTCAGCCTCCTCAGTAGCTGGGAATACAGGCATGCACCAATGACTACACTGGCTGGGATTCAAATTCTTAGATTTTGTTGTTATTTCATTCCCTTCCCCAGAAAGATAACATTTAACTCAGGGGAATTCTGTTTTGTTTTGTTTTCTTTTCTTTTTTGTGGTATTGGGGAATGAGCCCAGGGGTGCTCTACCACTGAGCTATATCACCCACCCTTTTTATTTTGAGATAGGGTTCTGCTGTGTTGCCCAGGCTGGCCGCAGACTTGGCAATCCTCCTGACTCAGCCTGCTGAGTTGCTGGTATTATAGATGTGTGCCTCCATACCTGACTGGACTGTTTTAAAGGGCTTAAATCACTTGGTTTGAGTTAGTAGGAAACAGAAAATCTCTCTGCTTCTTTATTATTCTTTCTTCTTTTTCCTTTACATTAATTAATTAATTAATTAATTTCAGTATTGGGGGTTGAACCCAGGGTCACTTTACCACTGAGCTACATCCCAACCCCTTTTATTTTTATTTTTTTTTTAATATTTATTTTTTAGTTATAGGTTGACACACAATATCTTTATTTTATTTTTTTAATGTGGTGCTGAGGATCAAATCCAGTGCCTCACGCGTGGTAGGTGAGTGCTCTACCTCTGAGCCACAACCCCAGCCCCACAACCCCTTTTGTTTGTTTGTTTATTTATTTATTTATTTATACATGTGAATGGAAGGATAAAATAACATCAAGTATTATTGAGACCTGACTTGCATCTAAAAGCAATGGTAGCAGACACCTTCAAGACTTCCTAGTTTGGGGGAAACATCCTACTTAAGGGCATCAGGGTCTAAATCCACTACAGTGACTTAATAAAATCACTATCTGTTTTCTTTTGCAAAGCTGAACATTTGTTTTGCCTTTTTGTCTGGCCATTCCTTTGAAGAACAGAGACACATCATAAAATCGAGAAGTTCTCCTGGTATTCTACAAAGTAGGTAAAGTATGTTACAGTATGTCCTTTAAAATTTTGAACCTTAATTTCAGTATTTAAAAATGTGACTTTCAGTGTTATCAATTTCTATATGTCTTGCTGCTGATGGGAGATAAGATTATGTTGTTGTCATATTCTACTTTTATTACTAGACAGACATGGAGTAGATTTAGGTAATTTAATAGGTAATAGTTTTTTAGTGGGTGGGTCTTTCTGTAAAGCTCTTGGATATGAACTTTGCTCTGTTAGTCAAAGCAGTGAATAGTTTTCCCTATGTCCAAGAAATCTAACTTCCTAATATCTCCAGGAGAACTGTGTGTGTGTGTGTGTATGTGTGTGTGTGTGGTCTTAGGGATCCAACCCAGGGACTCACATGTGCTAAGCGCAGAGCTCTTGCCACTGAGCTATTCTACAGCTTGAAAGCTTAATTTAAAATGAGTCACACACAGGACAGAAACTAAGCATTTTGACAATTGGACAAGGAATTGCTGATTTGAAATCTTTTAAAAATTGATACTTCTATTAGACTAGTGTATTTAAGTTCTTTAAATGTTATGTTTTAATGAATAAGTTTAGGGGGAATGAAAGCATAATTTGCAGGCTGGGGATGTGGCTCAAGCGGTAGCGCACTCGCCTGGCATGTGCGGGACGCCAGGTTCGATCCTCAGCACCACATAAAAATAAAATAAAGATGTTGTCCACCAAAAACTAAAAAATAAATATTAAGGGCTGGGGATGTGGCTCAAGCAGTAGTGCGCTCGCCTGGCATGCATACGGCCCGGGTTTGATCCTCAGCACCACATACAAACAAAGATGTTGTGTCCGCCAAGAACTAAAATAAATAAATATTAAAATTCTCAAAAATAAATAAATAAATAAATATTTAAAAAAATTTAAAAAAAGAAAGCATAATTTGCTATATTTATGCAAATTTGAGGAATGCTTCATTTCAGGGTATAAAATGCTATTCTTTTTTTTTTTTAATAAAATGCTATTCTTTCTCTCTCTTTAGAGTATAGCAAAATGGATATACCAAATCCTCCAACTTCCAAATGTATCACTTACTGGAAAAGAAAAGTGAAATCTGAATATATGCGACTTCGACAACTTAAACGACTTCAGGCAAATATGGGTGCAAAGGTAAAAAACCGTTCTCAAGTGGGTGTGGTGGCAACATGCCTATAATCCCGGATACTCAGGAGGCTGAGACAGGAAGTTGGAAAGATTGAGGCCAGCCTGGGCAATTTAGGAAGACCCTGGCTCAAAAGGAAAGGTAGTGAGCTGACAGACTGAGGATTTGCAAGACCCTAGTAGGTTCAATCCCCAGTATTAATAAATAAATAAATAGCTTCCAGGTGAAAGATTGCAGATTTCATTATGTTTCTTCAGTGTTGAGGATTTGAAATTTTTTCACTTGTGCTTTGATATCTTAATCTTTTTCTTGGCTTTGCTAGGCCTTATATGTGGCAAATTTTGCAAAGGTTCAAGAAAAAACCCAAATTCTCAATGAAGAGTGGAAGAAGCTTCGTGTCCAACCTGTTCAGTCAATGAAGCCTGTGAGTGGGCATCCTTTTCTCAAAAAGGTACTACAGGGGTCAAAACCTGGCCTTTCCCTCTTTCTTGGACATAAAGTTTTTTTCTGTTAGAAAATAAATAAATAAAATAGACACAGTATTATAGTCAACCTTGAGCAATTAGGAGAGTAAATCAGTAAAGAGTAATTTTGTCACCTTTTTTCTCTTCAATTGATAATTGTGGGGGTTGGGGTTATAGCTCACTGGTAGAGTGCTTGCCTAGCAAGTGTGAGGCCCTGGGTTCAATCCTCAGTACCACATAAAAAATAAATAAATGTATTGTGTCCATTTACAACTAAAACTATTTTTAAAATAATAATAATTGTGATTTTTTTTTAGTTAAAAAACAAAGATATTTAAGGGCTGGGGTTGTGGCTCAGTGTAGAGCATTTGCCTAGCACATAAGGTACTGGGTTTGATCCTTAGCACCACATAAAAATAAATAAGTAAAATAGAGATATTGTGGCCATCTATAACTAAAAATTAAAATATTTAAAAAAAAGACATTTATTGTCTGCTTCCCTGGACTCTATATCCAAGCTCCAAATCAACTCTATGACTTGATCCAACTCCTAAAGTACTTTTATATTGGGAAATGAATGCTCTGGGTAATGGACAGGAGTATATTGATACCTTATTGTAAATTTATTTATTAGGTTGAATTATCATCATAAAAATAATTCTAGTTTCTCTAGATTTATGTGTATGTGGGGGGGGGATGCGGGGAATAGAACTCAGGGCCTTTTGCATGCGAGGCAAGCACTCTACCAACTGAGCTACATCCCCAGCCCAATGTTTTTTATAAATAAATGAATTTTATTTGTTTGTTTATTTTAATTTGTTGTTGTTGTTGTAGATAGACACAATACCTTCACTTTATTTATTATTTTTATGTGGTGCTGAGAATTGAACCTAGTGCCTCACACGTGCTAGGCCAGCGCTCTATCACTGAGCCACAACCCCAGTCCTATAACTATAATTTCAATATTACTTTGTTTTCCTGGGTACTGTCCCTATCAGCTAAGTCTTAAAATTTACGTCCTTAGGAAAACTTCCTCATCTTCATCTCATCCTTTAGAACTTTCAGAGGCCCTTTTCTATTGTGTACACTCCAAGGAGACCAACAGTTTTAATTGAAATAAACATCAGTGGAGTATGACAATCACTGGGATGAACTCTGTAGAGTATGCAAATATGAATAAGAGACAGTTCCTGCTCTCCACAGGAGCGATGCTAAAAAAAACACTCAGTATATTAATTTGTAAGAATTATAAGAACATGGCCAGGTGTGATGGCACATACCTGTAATTCCAGTTACCCAGGAGGTTGAGGCAGGAGGATCACAAGTTCAAGGCTATCCTGGGTAACTTTGAAACTCTGTTTCAAAGCAATATAAAAAGTGCTGGGGATGTAGCTTAGTAGGAGAGTGCTTGCCTATACTCTGAGTTCAACCCAGCAACCCACACGCACACACAAATAAATAAAAAAGAAAAAAGAATGAGAATATTATAAGAACACTGGGGACTTTTGGAAGGAAACTACATAATTCTCTCTTGGGTTTTATTCCTGCCTTTCTCTATCTATGTCATTTCTCATTCTTTAGTGTACCATAGAGAGCATTTTTCCAGGATTTGCAAGCCAACATATGTTAATGAGGTCTCTGAACACTGTTGCATTGGTTCCCATCATGTATTCCTGGTCCCCTCTTCAGCAGAACTTTATGGTATGTATTAAAAGCAGTTGTTTAATCTGTATGATTTACTTATATTGATATGTGGAAGCTCCTCTTAGGAGAATACTTACCAAAGCTTGAATATACAGCATGGTACATTATTGTAATTTACTTACTGTAAAAAATAGTAAGTTTTTCTAATGTATTAGATTTTAGTGCTTTCTAAAATATACTTCTGAATTGATTTTTTATCCTTTAAATGAATGAGGTTGGGCAAAACTCCAATTTTCTCTTTCTACTTGGATCCAATTTTGTAACATTATATGCAGTCTAAATCAGATACTTGAGGCTTAAAAGTAGGTTGTCAACCCCCTGCTGATGGAGTAATTCTGTCTGAATCCTCTAAAGGCAGGATAATATGAAAGCAACTGAGATAACAGAGGTGCACATGGTTACACAGTCCTTTCATCCAGGGCTTTATGCTGACTCCTGCTAGGATTATTTATTGTTCTGATGATCAGTCCTCTTTAAATACTGCTATTGCTTATCATCTGTCTGGTGACAGGTGGCCATACTGTTGATCAGAACAGGATATAGGTCTATAGAAAAGAGTAATCTCTTTAAATAAAACCTCAGAGTAATTACTCTTGGAACTTGGGGATTTAAGAATAACTATGTTGGGGCAGGAATTGCAGTTCAGTGGTCAGAGTGTGCTTGCTGTGTAAAGCCTAGTGTTCACTCTCCTGCACCTCCCAACCAAAAAAAAAAAAAAGAATAGCTATGTGTTCTGTATTCTCAGATGAGTGTCTTGCCCCACTCCACTCCTCGAGTATTATTTCCTTGATTTTTTTTTTTTATGGTGCTAGGGATTGAACTCAAGGCCTTGTGCGTGTGAGGCAAGCACTCTACCAACTGAGCTATATCCCCAGGCCTCCTTGAGTATTATTTATCTCCAGAAAATATCCATAGCCTATTCTGCGATTGCCTTTAGGTTCAGATTGAGTATGATAGGCATGAGTTATCATAATTTTTTATTATTGCAGAGTAATTATGCTTCATAGCATATCCCAAAATTTTATGATTGCTCTGGTGCTTGTGTAGTTCTATTGTAAATCATACCTGTGGAGGCCTTCCTTTTTATTTATCTCTCTATTTACTCATGAAAGCCACTAGAATAAAAATATAATAAAGAAAAAAAGAAAATTAAAGAAAACCAGTGGAATTGGAGACTTTTGACTGTTTTTTAGGTGATGTTCATAACTATATCACAAAGAAGTGTAGTGGATACAAGGAGAAAATAGATGGAAGTACTGTGAAAAATAAATGGGCTGTCAAATTCTAGGTGTTGGCGGAAATACCATAGTTGATATTAAGGGATATGTTACGTAGTCAATATCAACCAGACTGACTTTTATCTCTCTAAGAGTAGCATCACCCTTTCTTTGTGAGATTTTAATTGACCAGTCTTTAAAGTGCAGAAAAATCTATGATTAAAGGAATTTTCAGGAGACTCAGAAACAAACAAACAAACAAAAAAACTAAGCAAAGATTCCACTAAATAGAAAAGAGGAGATGCATAGTGCCTCGTGGAATGAATTACATCTGGTTTAATTTCAGGTAGAAGATGAGACAGTTTTGTGCAATATCCCCTACATGGGAGATGAAGTGAAAGAAGAAGATGAAACTTTCATTGAAGAGCTGATCAATAACTATGATGGGAAAGTCCATGGTGAAGAAGGTAGTGGTGCTGAGTTCTTTAGGAGAAAACTATTTTTAGAATAGTGCCTTTTCTACTAGGTACAGTGGTACATGCCTGTAATTCCAGTGACTCAGGAGGCTGAGGCACAATGATTACAGGTTCGAGGCCAGCCTCAGCAACTCAGCCAGGCCCTAAGCAATTTAGTGAGACCCTGTCCTAACATAAAAAGGACCTGGGGTGTGGCTCAATGGTAAGTAAGATGCCCCTATGTTTAAGCACCAGGACCAAAAAAAAAAAAAAAAAAATCACAGATAATTTTAAAAGGAGATGAGACACGAAATAATTATTAGTAATCAGTGGCTAGAAAGAAAATTCATTATACAGATTTCTTAGAAGTCCATCCAAGGCCATTTTGTGCTTCATTTCCCATTCTTTCAGAATGGCAATGAGCAGCCGGATGTGGGGGCGCATGCCTATAATCCCAGCGGTGCAGAAGTTTGAGGCAGGAGGATTATGAGTTCAAAGCCAGCCTCAGCAAAAGTGAGGCACTAAGCAACTCAGTGTGACCCTGTTTCTAAATAAAATACAAAATAGGGCTGGGGATGTGGCTCAGTGGTCAAGTGCCCCTGAGAATTTAATCCCTGATAACCCTCCCCACACATATACACACACAAAAAAAGAATGGCAATAAGCATAACTTCTGTTTCATACTACTTTGATCCATGTATCCTCTGACTTTCTACGAAATTGGCTTAAATGTCTTTGATTTCTAAAAATAATCATTTGGACTTGTTAGTAATTCTAGAAAAGGTTGTCAGTATATAAGGTAAGAAGAGGCAGAGAGACTTCCTAGGTGTTTGCCAACCAGTAGCCCCACATACTCTTGACAGTTGTGGGTACTGTTATAATGCTTTTCAAATACATTGTTTATCCACAGCACCCCCTAGTGTTCAAGGACTTTCTTCCAAGTTGTAGTATAACCCCATAAAGTATGATTTTAGGAAAAAATGCTGTCTTTTGATTTAGAGAAGTTCCTATCCATCTATCCGCAGCAAAACCAAGTGAGTTTTCATTTGATTATCTTTTCTCTGTGCTGTGTGTGACTATTGGTATACTCTTTTGAACCATAAATATTGAATTGACCTTTGACTAAGGAAGTAAAATATCCCAATAAGAATAAAACCTGGAGGGCTGGGATTGTGACTCAGTGGCAGAGCGCTTTCCTAGCATGTATGAGGCACTAGGTTCAATTCTCAGCACTACATATAAGTAAATAAAATAAAGGCCCATTGACAACTAAAAAATTTTTTTTAAAAAGAAAAAAGAATGAATCCTGGGGGGCTGGGGTTGTGGCTCAGCTTCAGAGCGCTTACCTAGCACGTGTGACATCCTGGGTTCGATCTTCAGCATCACATAAAAATCAATAAATAAAAACAAAGGTATTATGTCCAATTATAACTAAAAAATAATTAAAAAAAAAAAAAAGAATGAAACCTGGGTAGAGGACGTAGCTTAGTGGTCGAGTACTTGCCCACCACGTATAAAGCCCTAGGTTTGATCCCTAGCACTGAAAAAAAAAAAGAAAGAAAGAAAAATAAAAGAAAGAAGCTTATAGATGTTTTCCTGCTCACGCAGCTAAATTGTTGCAATTAAGAGTAGGTCAGCGGGCTGGGGATGTGGCTCAAGTGGTAGCGCGCTCACCTGGCATGCGTGCGGCCCGGGTTCGATCCTCAGCACCACATACAAACAAAGATGTTGTGTCCACCGAAAACTAAAAAATAAATATAGGGGGAAAAAAAAAAGTCAGTCAGATGAGGTGGGCACACTGGCGCCCACCTGTAATCCCAGCGGCTCGGGAGGCTGAGGCAGGAGGATCATGAGTTGAAAGCTAACCTCAGCAACAGCAAGGCTCTAAGCAACTCAGTGAGACCCTGTCTCTAAATAAATTACAAAATGGGGCTGAGGGTGTGACTCAGTGGTCCAGTGCCCCTGAGTTCAATCCCTGGTACAAAAAAAAAAAATGATTGCAGTACCCTGATTGTTCATATGAAACATATGTGCCTTAGGAGTGAGTATAAAAAACCTGCCCAGGAGGACGAATGGAATGTGAAGCAACCACTGCTTATCCTTCTAATCTTGTGTTTTAGAGATGATTCCTGGATCTGTCTTGATTAGTGATGCCGTTTTCCTGGAGTTGGTAGATGCCCTGAATCAATATTCAGATGAGGAGGAGGAAGGACACAATGACACCTCAGATGGAAAGCAAGAAGACAGCAAAGAAGATCTGCCAGTAACAAGAAAGAGAAAACGACACGCCATTGAAGGTACATAGCATTGCTTCCACATTCCATTTTGAAAATGACAGAGATACAGAAGAAGGGAAACCTGAAATGGTATATTGCTTATTAAAGATTGTTGGTGCTTCTCTTGGTCCATTTAAAAGTTAAATATGGCAGGCTGTTGTGGCATATGCCTGTAATCCTAACAATTCAGGAGGCTGAAGCAGGAGGATTGCAAGTTCGAGGCCAACCTCAGCAATTTAGCAAGGCCCTAAGCAACTTAGCAAGACCTTTTCCCCCCCCAAAAAAAAAGGGACCGAAGAGGTCTGGGGTTGTAGCTCAGTGGTAGAGTGCTTGCCTTGCATGTGTGAGGCCCTGGGTTCAATCCTCAGCACTACATAAAAATAAATAAATAAATAAAAAGATATTGTATCCATCTACAACTTAAAATTTTTTTAAAAAGGTGGGGGGACTGAAGATATGGCTCAGTGATTAAGCATCCCTGGGTTCAATTCCTAGTACTCCCCCCAAAAAAGCTAAACATGATCATTAACCAATAGCTTAAGTTGGCTATAGCCTAGCTGAAGAAGAAAGTAGAATTTACAAATAATCATCATTCATTTCTAAATATGTGAGTAATGTGATTGGAAAACTGAGACAATATAAAGAAGGAAACAAAATGACACTATAATCCTGCTTTGTAGAAATAACCAGATTAATATTTCCTTCTAAACTTAAAAAATGTATTCATGTAGGGCTGGGATTAATGCTCAGAGCTAGAGTGCTCGCCTCGTATGCATAAGGTGCTGGGTTCCATCCTCAGCACAACATGTATTGTGTCCACCTACAACTAAAAAATGAATATTTTCTTAAAAAAATGTATTCATATAAATCAACATGTTTATATTATGCCAAATTTGAATGAACTCTGTATAAATTTTTAACTTTTTTGTTTAATTGATTATATCAGCATTTTTCCATGTCACTAATATTTATTTAATCAATCCAATATTTAATCACTTAATTATACTGTATGTTACTTAATTATACTATATATCTAGGGACATAGTATCTCTCTGCTATAAAATAGTTATAGTATCCATCTTGTTTTTAAGCATTAACATTATTATCATAATTCAGATTCTTCTATTTTCAGGTCTCTCCATGGAGACTCCTTTTTACCTCCAGATTCTAACAGGGACTGTGGATTTTGTTATCCATATGTAGTCTGTGGTTAAGGTTAACAAACCAGCACTTATCAAAATGCTAAGACAAAGAGGGAAAAGGTCAGACAGCTTTGTTAGCATGCTTTGATAAAAGCACTCAGGAGTTTTTTGTCATTTCAAATTCAGGCAACAAAAAGAGTTCCAAGAAACAGTTCCCAAATGACATGATCTTCAGTGCCATTGCCTCGATGTTCCCTGAGAATGGCGTCCCAGATGACATGAAGGAGAGGTAGGGAAAAGCTGTTCGGCTTAGGCCATACACAGAGTATGGCCATACACAGACAAAATATTTATTCAAGTCTATTTTTTGGTTAATAAAAAGCTTGTTTATGGTAAGTGTATTACAGTTTGCCTGCACTTCTGATGATTTATTGCTTACTTCTTTTTTTAAAAATACTTTTTTAGTTGTTGGTAAGCCTTTTATTTTATTTATTTACTTATATGTGGTGCTGAGAATCAAACCCAGTGCCTCACACTTTCTAAGCAAGTGCTCTCCCATTGAGCCACAACCCCAACCCTCTTGCTTACTTAAATGCCCTCTTGATATATTAAAAATCACTGTGCTGGCTTTTGAGTGAATCTGGGCAAGGAACTTTTACTCTGCTATTTTGGGGAGAGTTACTCCAGCACTATGCTGATCAAATCTTTCCCTCCTCTTACTTTTAGACATATGTCTGGCCCTGTGTAATTACAGTGGTGTACCCACTTAGTTATTCACCATCCCCTCATCCACGAGACCCATAAAACACACAGCCTCCCTTGGCAGACCAGAACTGAGTGACTGTTGATACCCAATCCACATTTTCTCTGTGGAGACATTCCCTTGGAGGAACTCTTCTCTCTTTTTTCTTAAATAGGTATCGCGAACTAACAGAGATGTCAGACCCCAATGCACTTCCTCCTCAGTGCACACCCAACATCGATGGCCCCAATGCCAAGTCTGTGCAGCGGGAGCAATCTCTGCACTCCTTCCACACACTTTTTTGCCGACGCTGCTTTAAATACGACTGCTTCCTTCACCGTGAGTGCGGCTACTGTTTAACATGCTCTCCTCTTTCCCATCCCTGCCACCATTCCCTTCTTTCCGTTTGTTCTGGGTTTGTCATATGTATAAGTTCCCAGCCTCTGATCTGATGAAGGTTTCACAAAAGGACAGTTGTTTTCACTTGTTCAGTTTCGTCTGTCTGATAGAGACAGACGAATCAGCAACCTAATTTTCCCTCAACACCTCTTAACTTGGGAAGAATTGTGTTGACATAGAAAATGGCTAAATTTTGTGTACCTTGATGGGCACTGTTTATATCAAATTCCAACTCCCACAATAGCTCCCTAACTCAGTTTTGTTAGACCACTGGAAACATTATGATTTTTCTTTTCCAGCTTTTCATGCTACTCCTAATGTATATAAACGCAAGAACAAGGAAATCAAGATTGAACCAGAACCATGTGGCGCAGACTGCTTCCTTTTGCTGGTAGGTTCTTAAGCTGTTCTGGCATTGTTGAGTCTGTTTAAAATCAGGCAGGAAATGGTCCTTGGGCTTTCTGTCTCTGGGAACACAAGCCAAGTGAGGCAGTACACAGCATTCCCAGGATCATAAAACAGTTGTTCTGATAGAGTGAAATTCGAAAAACATTAAAGGCTTACTTGCTCTAAATATCTACTTAGATTTCAGAGTCTAAAATTTATTGTTAGAATTGAAACAAAGAAGTCTGGGTGTGAGGTCAGTATTAGAGCACTTGCCTAGAATGATCAAGGTACTGGGTTTGATCCCCAGCACCACAAATAAAACAGAACAAAAGAGTTGGAGCAAAGAGTAGGGAATGGTTGTATGCACTTTATTTTCTTTTCTGTCTTCCTTTATTTATTTTTAAAATATTTTTAGACACAATACCTTTATTTTATTTATTTATTTTTATGTGGTGCTGAGGATTGAACCGAGTACCTCACATGTGCAAAGCTAGTGCTCTACCTCTGAGTCACAACCCCAGCCCTTGGCCACATTTCTTGATGGGAGATGCAAGGTCTCCTTGGAGAAGGGCATGTGAGGTGGGAGGTATTGTTACAGCCATCTGTGGAAAGCACAGTTTACCTAGCATGATTGTTTATAGTCTTTCTGTCCTCTCTCTGGATCCCACTAGAATACAGGAGGAATTCATAAGGGTAGACATCTCTGTCCTGCCCATTGATCTATCCCAAACTTCTAACATTAGTGTCTGGCATGTAAGAGCTGCTCAACAAATATTTACTGAGTGAATTAATAAATGAAGAGAAACAGAAATGAATGGAACCTGACTATACTTTTGATCCTCCTGACTCAGCCTCCCAAGTAGCTGGGCTTACAGGTGTGTCCCACTGTGCACAGCTTGGAATATTTTTATTTATTTTATTTTATTTTGTATTTTTGGAATTTTTAAAAATGTAACACAAAGGAAAGAAAGTCTAGCTCTGTGGTTTGTGGGGTATGTGGAATCTGCACTGGTGGGGTTGACCTAGGACTGCCCTCTCCATCTGTAATCCCAGCAGTTCAGAAGGGGTCTGGATGTCGGACAGAGGGGACTGTTACACTATCTTTCTACTTTTTTTTTTTTTTTTCAGTTGAAGATGGATACAATACCTTTGTTTTATTTATTTATTTTTATGTGGTATTGAGGATCGAACCCAGTGCATCACACATGTTAGGCAAGTGCTCCTCTACTGCACTACAACACCACTGTGCTACAACCCCAGCCCCTTCTGTCTTCCTTTAAATGCATGTAACCATAGAGGGAAGAACACATGAAGGCACTGATATCTTCCTGTATCAACCAGATGGACCCTCTCTGATAGACAGACCTTATGTGACTGTGTAAATTGTCCTGCTTATCTGGGGGAAGGCAGTATACTGAAAGCCAGAAGAAAATAGATCAGTTGAATTGTCTTAAGTTTTTGACTTTCTACACAATAGGTTGAACAAGGTACTATTTGTTATTTATCAGAAAAATACACCATATGTGTAATATCAAAAGAATAAATCAACTTTATCTTATTTATTTTTTCCCTAACATGTATTGATTCCTTTCTATGTGCAAAGTACCATGCTAGGCCCCTAACATACATTGTTTTACTTTTAACCTTACAACAGTTCTCTGAGGTTGAAGGGACTATGGGTTATAGAAGTTACATATTATGCCCAGAGTTTGTTAGTAAGTCAGTCATATGGCAGCAATGAGACTCAAGCCCTGGTCTGACTCACACTCCATGCTTTTTAAATTACTCCATGCTTTTTTTTCTTATTTATTTTTTTATAGTTGTATTTTATTTATTTTTATGTGGTGGTAAGGATCAAACCCAGTGCCTCACACGTGCTAGGCAAGTGCTCGACCACTGAGCTACAGCTTCAGCCCCACTCCATGCTTTTTTTATTATACTATGTTACATGAACTTGCCAACATTTATGTAACCTGAAAGGGCATTGTCCTTCTCTCAGTTGTCACTCTGGAAACCTGTACATGTATTATAAAGATGTTACCAGTAGCCAGAGTGTATGTACGTGCACGTGTGTGTTATGTGTATAACTTACAGATATACATAATATGCACAGCTTTTCTTTTATTACTTTTTAGATATGAGTACATATTTAAATATAGTGCAGGACTAGTTTTCCTCAGCTGTGTTTTTTCTGAAGGATAGATAATGTCTTTAATTACAACAAGATGACTAGCCATGCCAGAGCAATGCCTCCAAAAATTAGCTAGAAACTGAGTTGTTCCTCTCCACAGAAATCTTTAGTAAAAAGCAAAGATTTATTCAGTGAAGAGAAGCCAGAACATTTCCCAACTTTTATAGCACTTTTTTTTAATTAAATAACTTAATTATTCTAATTTGTTATATAAGATGGCAGAATGCAATTCATTTCATATTACACATACAGAGCCCAATTTTCAAGGCACTGATTGTACACAAAGTATTTTCACACCATTCGTGTCTTATACATGTACTTAGGATAATGATGTCTAACTCATTCCATCATCATTCCTACCCCCTTGTCCCCCCCTTCCCCTCCCTCCCCTTTGCCCTATGTAAAGTTCCTCCATTTCTCCCATGCTCCCCGCCCCATCACCATTAGGAGTCAGCATCCTCATATCAAAGAAAACATTTGGCCTTTGGTTTTTTTGGGATTGGCTTACTTCACTTAGCATTATATTTTCCAACTCCATCCATTTACCTGCAAATGCCATGATTTTATTTTCTTTTAATGCTGAGTAGTGTTCCATTGTGTATATATACCAGTTTCCCTATCCATTCATCTACTGAAGGGCATCTGGGTTGGTTCCACAATTTAGCTATTGTGAATTGTGCTGCTATAAACATTGATGTGGCTGTGTCCCTCTAATATGCTGTTTTTAAATCCTTTGGGTATAAACCATGGAGTGGGATAGCTGGGTCAAATGGTGGTTCCATTCCAAGTTTTCCTAGGCATCTCCATACTACCTTCCAGATTGGCTGCACCAATTTGTAGTCTCACCAGCAATAGCATTTTCAATAGTACAAAGAAGTCAAAAGATGTCTTCTTCCTGGATTTGAGATATGTTTTCCATATTTACCTTATTTATATATTTGGGGTTTTATTTTGTTTTTGTTTTTGTTTGGAGGTGGTGATACTGGGGGGAACCCAGGGCCTTGTACATGGTTGGCATGTGCTCTGCCACTGAGCTACACCCCCAGCCCCATCCATTTATTTGTGTTTGTGTACTTTTGCTGAATCATTTGAAAACAATATTGTGATGTTTCTTTGTTAAATATTTCCAAATGCATCTCCTAAAAATAAAGACATTCTCTTACATAATCATGCTATTACAGTTAAGATTAGTAAGAATTTTATAATATCAACTATTATCCAGTCTATTTTCATTTTTTTCAACTATTGCTGTTTGGGTTTTTATTTTCAAACTAGAACATCACATATAGTTATTATGTATTTCTAGTGTTGTTTTTTGTTATTGTTTTCTTTTTTTTTTTTTTGATACCAGGGATTGAACCCAGGGAGACGCTTAACCACTGAGTCACATCCCCAGGCCTTTTTATTTTTTTATTTTGAGACAGGGTCTCGCTAAGTTGCTGAGGCTGGCCTCAAACTTGTGATCCTCCTGCCTCAGCCTCCTGAGTTGCTGGGATTACAGGTATGTGCCACCCTGCCCGGCTGTATTTTTGTTCTTGATCTCAAATAATTCCACCACTTTTTTTTTCTTTTTTGGAAGTTTCAGGTTGATTGTCTTGTAGGATGACTCACATTCTAGATTTGTCTGTTATTTTCTCAGAGTGTGACTTAACTGTTCCTCTGAAGGCTTGATTTTATTTGTTTAACCATTTTGATAAAAAATACTTTATAAATGGGGGCTGGGGATGTAACTCATATGTGAGGCCCTGGAGGCCCTGGGTTCAATCCCCAGTGCCATAAAAAGAAATAATAATAATAATAATTCTGAGGATTTCAAATTGTAGCATAGATATGTGCTATCCGATTCAACCAATCTCAAAATAACTTTCTTTGAATTTCCTTTAGGACCTACATATATTATTCCAAATATCCTTCGTGATGATTAACCTTTATCCTTTACAACTGTATTTAGTTTTTAGAAACAACTAGAAGTCTTTGGAAAACAAACCTTCTAATTAGAAATGATCAAGCTGAATTATTTGATCAAAAAAAAGCATAGTGAAGAGTAGTGGAACAGTATTATGAATTTCATATGCAGCTTAGGGGGTTTCAAAATTAAGTAGTAATAGTGTACAACTTGAAGGATTACACATTTATTATTGAAACAGAAGCAGAGTGTAGATTGTAAATAGCAGTGGCATGGTACCTACTCTGACTCTTGTACCTACTTTGGAGCAATAAGCTGTATATTTTCAAGCAGGTATCTTTTCCTCTCTGAACCTAATTTCCTCATCAGGAGAATAAGATCTCAAATTCCAAACATGTGAATCAATTTCAGATATAACTTTCTGGAAAGTTGAAGATGCATAGATACATAGGTTATATCTTTTTTTTAAGATTATAGGACAACCCTTTTGTGAAAAGGCATAAGTTTGTAAATCTTAAAATGTTTGTTAAGCCGCTAGCTGTCCCATTATAATATGGTCACACTTATATGGTACAGATGAAGAAAAAGACAGTAACATTGCATAGATGTTGATGGAGATAAAGGTTTATATAATGGATGGCATCAATATAGTGAATCTGGGCCTATTCCTATTTCATACCTGTAATATGTCCGCTACAGGAAGGAGCAAAAGAGTATGCGATGCTCCATAATCCTCGCTCCAAGTGCTCTGGGCGTCGGCGGCGAAGGCACCATGTGGTCAGTGCTTCCTGCTCCAACACTTCAGCCTCAGCTGTGGCTGAGACTAAAGAAGGGGACAGTGACAGGGACACAGGCAATGACTGGGCCTCCAGTTCATCAGGTACAGTGAAAAGAAATGAAGATTATTTTCTTTACATTGCAACGACTCTGGTAAACCCAGGATTACTGCCTGAATTTTTTTTTTTTTTTTTTTTTTTGGAGGGGGATTGGCACTAGTGATTGAACCCAAGGATTGAACCACATCCCCAATCTGTTTTTTGTTTTTGTTTTAGTTTTAGTTTTTTTTTTCTTTTTCTTTTTTTCTTTTCTTTTTAATAATTATTTTTTATTTGTAGTTGGACACAATACCTTTATTTTATTTATTTTTATGTGGTCCTGAGGATCGAACCCAGGGCCTCACACATGCTAAGCGATCACTCTATCATTGAGCCACAAGCCCAGCCCATCCCTAACCTGTTTTATATTTTTATTTTTGAGACAGGGTCTCACTAAGTTGCCAAGGCTGGCACCTTAGACTCAAAAAAGAGACTCTTCAGCCCCAGTCCACTCCATAGGCTCTGAGGCTGGCTTTGAATTTGTGGTACTCATGCCTCGGCCTCTGGAATGGCTAGAATTACACATATATGTCACCATACATGGCCACTGCCTTCCTCTTAAAACTTCTTTGAGGTTTTGTGTTTCGGTTTGTATTTGGTGCTGGGAATCAAAGCCGGGGTCTGGCATGTGCCAGGCAAGCACTTTACCACTGAGCTATGTCCCAACCCTGACTCTTAATATCTCTACTTTTTAAAAATTGTTAATTATCTCCATAGTATACCAGAAAGCAGTGGAGATGGGGAATATTTTCATCCTTAACATTTCTGCCTTTTAAAGTAGAACAAAGTACTTCTGAGTTTGTGACAAGTTTCTAATGACAACTGCATTCCACTTCTGTTTCTCTTTCTTCCTTGCTTAGAGGCTAACTCTCGCTGTCAGACCCCCACAAAACAGAAGGCCAGTCCAGCCCCACCTCAGCTCTGTGTAGTGGAAGCCCCCTCGGAGCCTGTGGAGTGGACTGGGGCTGAAGAGTCTCTTTTTCGAGTCTTCCATGGCACCTACTTCAACAACTTCTGTTCAATAGCCAGGCTTCTGGGGACGAAGACATGCAAGCAGGTACCGCCTGAGAGTAGCAGAACAAACGTGGGTCCTCCTTTCATCCATTGCTTTGTTGTTTTTTTGCCACCTGATGTCACGTGTCTGGAGAGAAATTGTCTTAGGTTCAGTCTCTTGTGAGCCAATGCTTCTGGGTCATGAAGTAGGTTCCCAAATTTGGGCCCTTCTGTAAATACCAGGCCTAACAATGCTTAGGGATCTATTCTCCTCTTTGCCAAATTCTTCTTTCTATGTCTAGCCACTATATAAATCTTCTGGTGGTCCTACTTCCTTTAAGCTGCTTTTAGTGATTCCCAACCATCTTTCTAAACATGTACCCCATACCTAGAGGGAACTTCTGGTCTTCTGTGTGTGTTCTTAGCAGCACACTCCGGCTGCTGCCACTGCCACTGCCACTCCCTCCCTCCCCTCATCCTTTATTCTCCAGATTTTTAAATTACCAGCTCCAATAACTGGGCCTAGACCTCAGCCTTTTCACTCATGCCATCATTGGAAAGGCAGTTGATACAGCCACTAATGCACTGAAAGCAGGAAAAGACTGTGGTGAGAAGACAGTGAAGAATAGAGACGGGAGTCAGGTGTTCAGACCAGTCTTTCAAGCAGTGCTGGATCTCTGTTCACATGGCTCCCTAACTTCTGGAGGTATCTTGTGATCTCTTCACACCTCTTTTAGTTAGAACAGTTAATATAATCATGGGTTTAAATACCCTGTTGTTTTCATTTTGGAGCTCATCCCTATTTCCTTCAGGCAAAAGAATTTTGTGTATTTTCTGGACAATATTTACAGTTTCGCAGAATCCCATGTAGCCAAGAAAAAGAAGAAGAAAAAAGCTAAAAATGAGTGATATCAGGGAGAAAGGTTAAAGGAGAACCATCTTGGGCTGGGGATGTGGCTCAAGCGGTAGCGCGCTCGCCTGGCATGCGTGCGGCCCGGGTTCGATACTCAGCACCACATACCAACAAAGATGTTGTGTCCGCCGAGAACTAAAAAAAATAAATAAATTTAAAAAAAAAAAAAAAAAAAGGAGAACCATCTTTCCTCAGACACTGCCCTGCTGAAATATTCAAGGCTCTGGCATCTTTCTGTCAACAGAGGGAGCTAGTGTTAAGCCCAGTCCAAGGGCTCCCATCAGGCCTTACACTCAGTTACACAATGCACACAGGCAGCTGCCCTTCCTTTCCTAAAAGAGGTAGACACGCATGGTAAGGAGCATGGTGGCTTGGTGGAAAGAGTGGGGATGAAAGCTGTTGATCATGGAAGGCATTACTGTGCTCAGTATATCTCCCTTCCTGAGTTAGGGTGAGTGATATAGAGTTAACTTCAGAGCCAGGACCCCACATCCAATGGGACTCTTGTCTATCCCTGACTGAAAAGATGCCTAATCATCTGTCTGTAAATTCTCGAGAACTCTCACAAGCCCAACATGTTACTGAACACTTACCTGACCACCTAGCTCCAAAAGGTGTAATGAGCCCTGCCGGATTTCTCTTCCAGGTCTTTCAGTTTGCAGTGAAAGAATCACTTATCCTGAAGCTTCCAACAGATGAGCTCATGAACCCCTCACAGAAGAAGAAAAGAAAGCACAGGCAAGGGTTGGACGAAGAACCTTTTATGGGAAGGCTGTTCTCTGTGCTCTGACCTCCCATTGGGCTTCCCACCTGCCTCCCTCTAGGCCACTGAACAGGGCTGAGTGAGCCCATCTGCTCACCATCACATGGCTGAGGGCCAGAATTCTCAGTGCCACCTGAGTGCCTGTGCCTGGGACCGGTCCTGCCCCCTGCCCCTACATGCTGCAGACTGGACCTGAGATAGCTCTCTGGTTTTCCATTTAAACTTCTGGCCAATAGGCCCATGGCTTTACCCTGAGGCCATTTCTCCTTGTTGGGCCATTAGTTACCACCTTCCTTATTTCTCAATTATGATCAGAGTTTATTCCTTTTCTTTGTTTTTAGCACAGGTTGTTTATCTAATAATACTGTCATGCAGACAATCTTTATTTAGGGGTAGAAATTTGTTTTTGTTTTATTCAGCATTCTACCTAGCTCAGTAACCTAACGACTATCACTGAAGGAAGGAGCTGATGCCAGTTCTAGATACTGAAGCCCCTGTGACTCCTCCCTTTCCATTCCTTCACTCAAGAGAAGATTCCTGAAAGGCTTTTTCACCTCTTGTCTTAGAACTCCCCTACATCTCCTCTTCCACAAAGCAAGGGAAAGAGAAAGTGGAGAGAGAGGAACAGTAACATTATAATAGATATATACACTTGAGTTTTTGTTTTTTTCTTTTATAAGTTTGTTTGGGAGAGATTTAAATCTTGCAGCATAGTCCAGCTGGATTTAAGATGGGTCCTAGCTTCTGTGTACCAAAATAGAGGGCCTCCTGTTAAGGGATTTTGGAAGAAAATTCCACAATTATCAGAGCCCTTTAGAGCAGGTCACTCGGTCATTTGCCTGCAACAGCAGAGCTCCCAAGATCTGTGACCCAGAACCATCCCTTCTCTTTCAGGTTGTGGGCCGCACACTGCAGGAAAATTCAGCTGAAGAAAGGTAAGTTCCAGGCTGGAGGCATAGCTCAATGGTAGATAGAACACATGCTTAGCATAGAGAAGCCCTGGGTTCCATCCCCAGCATTGGGGGAGGGGGTGAGAAATGTTAGTTCCCCCAAGGCGGTCTTCAGCAGTTCAGTCTGAGGCCTCAGCCTGTGGCCATCACTCTGCCCCACCTGCAGCTGCACTTGTTGTTGACCCTGGCTGCTTCCGCAGATTGCAGATTTCTGTGCAGAGCTAAGAACAGCTGAGCTTCTTACTGCAGCTAAGCAGACCTTTTATGAAGTACAGTTAAAGGCCTTGTGGTCTCTGAGTTTCCTAGAGTGACATTTGCCAGGTTCCAGTCCTTTTTTAATGTTCAGAGTAGCTGCCCTACTATCTTAGACCATCTCCACACCCTTCCCACAAAACAGGTCACCCCACTATAGCTCGTGCACTATGGTCATCTGTGTTATCTTTTCACTCCAGGTGCTGTGTGTGTGTGTGCAAGGTGATGGTTGAAATAAGCCTGCTTTGACTCAGGGCAGTGGGAGGGGAGGGCAGCAAGGGAACCGAGTCACAGGAGAGTCCTGTTTGATTCTTCTCTTTTCTAGATAACTCTTCCACACAAGTATACAACTATCAGCCCTGCGACCACCCAGATCGTCCCTGTGACAGCACTTGCCCCTGCATCATGACTCAGAATTTCTGTGAGAAGTTCTGCCAGTGCAACCCAGACTGTAAGAGCACTGTGCTTTCCGTTAGAGTCCACCAGAGTGGCCGGCCTCAGAGTGCCCAGGATCCCTTCCTCTTCCACCCTCTTTGCTGCCTCCTGGAATTCCCTTTGCTGTGCTTTAGACATTCTAGAGGGAAAGTAAGATGCTAAAGATCTGGAAAAGGAATTTTTTTTTTTTTTTAAGAGATAGGGGCTTGGGGCTAGGAATATAGCTTAGTGGTATAGTACTTGCCTGGCACTTGCAAAGCCCTGGGTTCCATCCCTAGCACCCACCTCTTTAAAAAAGGAAAAAAAAGAAAGAGAGAGAGAGACAGGTTTCGTTATATTGTTCAGGCTGGTGAAGAACTCCAAGAGTCAAGCAACCCTCCTGCCTCAGCTTCCCAAGTAGTTGGGACTACAGGCCATACCATTGTTCCTACCTGAGAAGGCTATTTTGAAAAGCCCTTAGGATCTTGATTCCAAAAGCAGCAAATAGGAAGAGGAATGCCTTCCCAACTTGCCCTTCCAAGAGAGAACTAAAAAAGGAATCTTTTTCCTCAAGGTTCAGCAACAGTCTCCTTTTTAAAAATATTGTCTTTAAAATGTTTTAGCCAGGGGCTGTGGTACATGCCTATAATCCCAGCATTTGGGAAGCTGAGATGGAAGGATCTCTTGAGCCCAGGAGTTTGATTCATAGTGCACGAGGTCTGCCTGGACTATATAGCAAGACCTTGTCTGAAAAAAATTTTTTTTATTAAAAAATGTATAGGTCACAATTCTGTCTATGTCTATTTTCATTTACTAGCTGGAGTTTTAATATCATGTAGGAGATACAGGCCTGGACATCAGCAAAGGCTAAAAGTGGTTCTTTCACATCTTATCCTGCCATGCCCTTGCTCAGGTGGGGCTGAGCAGTTGGTTGCAGTCCCCAACTTGCAGAAGGGCTTGCCCCCAGGCAGTTGTGCTATAACTATTTCCTAACAAAGAGAAGATACTGATCTAGCCACAGCAGAAAGATGTTGATGCTGGGGAGGGCTGTGGGTGGAGGAGGATGGTGTAGAACGGATGCATTCTGTTCTCAAAATGATGCTTGTTTTGATGATGAGAATTTACCAGTGAAAAGAACTGATTTCATTTTCTCTGGGGCTCTCTTCACCTTCCTTCCAAATTCTGCCTTCAGGGATGGGGGTAGGGATAGGGTGAGGACCACTGTTGGGAGATACTTCTCAATGGTCACACCTGCTTTTTTTGACTCTCAGGCTTGAGTGTTGGGAGGCACTTTGTTTTCTAAGGAAAATACTCCAATGTATGATCACAGGGAAGGAACCTTCCGTCCTATTTCACCAAACACTCTTGAACACATGTGCTTCTCTGCTGTCCCTGAGTTCAACCAATGCTCCAACACTGACCTGCTCTTCTCTCTAGGTCAGAATCGTTTCCCAGGCTGTCGCTGTAAGACCCAGTGCAATACCAAGCAGTGTCCTTGCTATCTGGCAGTGCGAGAGTGTGATCCTGACCTGTGCCTCACCTGTGGGGCCTCAGAGCACTGGGACTGCAAGGTGGTCTCCTGCAAGAACTGCAGCATTCAGCGTGGCCTCAAGAAGGTGAGGCCTTTTTGCAGATCGAGATAATTGAGTAGGAGAGACACAACAGTCTTAGACATTCTCTTTCCCTAACTCCTTAGAGAGTGCTTGATAAGTCCTAATGGACACACATTGCCAAATTAATAAAGTTTCTGTTCTAATAAAGAGTTAGAAAAGTGACCCCTCAAACAAAGGCAAATGTGTCATTAATGTTGTCCTTTTCTTTTTTTTTCTTTTTCTTTTTTCCTTTTGTGGTACTGGGGATCAAACCCAGGACCCTGCACATGCTAGGCAAATGGTCTAATGCTAAGCTATATCCCTAGCCCTCATGTTATCCATTTTGACTTCCCACGAAGCAGTGAATACCCATGGACTCAAGCCCAGGAGATCCCCAGGGGAGAGGAAGATGAGTCCTGTTTCCTTTTACTACCTCTCCTCCTTACTTCTCCCCCCCCAGAACAGAATAGCTTGGACCTTTTTTCTGTTCTCAGATCCTCTTCACAGTTGCTAGTTCTCTCCACTGGTGCCCATAACACACGTGCACATTCAGCATGCTCATCTACTTGCTCACACATGCCCTGTCATCTGAGTTTTGACTCCCTCTCCTCAGCATCTGCTGCTGGCCCCCTCTGATGTGGCCGGATGGGGCACCTTCATTAAGGAGTCTGTGCAGAAGAACGAATTCATTTCTGAATATTGCGGCGAGGTGAGTGCTATGGGTTTGGCCCACGTCCCTGCTGGGGAGATGCTGATGAGAAACTCTGATTTTCTGTGGGCCAGCCTTCTGTGAATTCATCTCTAAATAACTCAGCCGAGTTCTCATGTGGCCTCTCGGGGGATCCCACAGAACTGTTTGCAGTCCTGAAACAAACCACTGTTCTTCAGTTTTTTGTCATCTCAGGCCACATGAGGGAGTGGGGGCAGAGAGGGTCTCTCTTTGGCCTGAATGCTGTTCAGCCTGAGTGACAGTGGGAACAACATGGCCTGGGTACCCTGTCCTACAATTCTCATGATCCTCAGCACCTATAGGTGACACTGCCTTTTCTCAGCCCTTTCTGGGGGCAGGGTACCATGCCTGAGCAGACAGCCTGACACCCTATTTGTTCCTTTTCTGTTTGTCCAGCTTATCTCTCAGGATGAGGCTGATCGACGAGGGAAAGTCTATGACAAATACATGTCCAGCTTCCTCTTCAACCTCAACAATGGTATACTACTTGGTGTCTTTTTGGTCCTCCCAAGGTGGTTTTATGCAGGTCTTTCTTTTGGAGGAGGGCATTAGGTATTGAACCCAGAGGTGTTTTACCACTGAGCTGCATCCCCAGACCTTTTTATTTTTTATTTTAAGACAGGGTCTCACTAATTTGCTAGGTTGCTGAGGCTGGCCTCAACCTTGCAATCCTTCTGTCTCAGCCTTCTGAGCTACTGGGATTACAGGTGTGTTCTATTATGCCTGGCTTCTGCAAGTCTTCCTACCAAGTTGTCTGTGCTGTAGTCCAAGTTCAGATCACCTCCAACAGATGCAATAGAGCCTGGTCAAACTCAAGAGACCCTGCAGGCTATGGTTCACTTGATTTGGGAGGATCTCCATTTTGGGGTTTTTTGGAATAGGAGCATTGAGCACTCACACCTCCGAAACCTCCCTACCCACCATGGCACTATGGCATATACCTGTAATCCCAGCTTCATAGGAGGTTGAGGCAGGAGGATCACAAGTTGAGGCTAGCCTGGGCAACTTAGTAAAGTCTGTCTCAAAATTTAAAAAGAGCTGGGGATATAGTTCAATGATTGCCTAGCATGTACAAGGTCCTGGGTTTAATCCCAGTACCAAAAGACCAAAAACAAAAAACAACAACAACAAAAAAAAAAACTTCCCTACCAAATAGACTGGATGGGAAGACATTAGTAATTCAAACCAAGATGGGGAACCTAAAGAGAGAGTGCCCACATGAAGCAGAATTCTCAGACTTTGGTGCTTTACACATATCCTATTACCACTCCAGGCTTCAAATTTCTGTTGCACTAAATTGTTTCTGTTACCAGTTAGTTAACTGATTTTAAATTCAGGCTAAAGAAGTGTGGAGTTTCCTGGTGCCCTCAAGGTCTTCTTTGATTTATATCATACAGATTTTGTAGTGGATGCAACCCGGAAAGGAAACAAAATTCGATTTGCAAACCATTCGGTGAACCCCAACTGCTATGCTAAAGGTGAGTCCTCAGTGACCTTGGAGGTGGGGTCAGGGTGGACACTTTGTTGACTATGATTTATATTTATGTTCAGTAGTCAAAGCTACTTTTTGGTCTAAAGATAATCATGATTAATATCTGGTATCATTTTAGGCCCCCTTCTCTCTCCTCTTCCTTCCTCCCTTCCTCTGCCTCATCTTCTCCCTCCCTCTGCCCCATCTTCTCCCTTTCTGTATTATAATCTTTTTACACTGACTATAAAAAACACTTCCCACAAACGTGATTTATAGGTAATTCTTATGAAGGCCTGGTTCATCCCCAGGGCTAAAAAAAAAAAAGGCTGAGTACAGTGGTGCATGTCTGTAATCCTAGCCACTTGGGAGGCCAAGGCAGGAGGATCACAAGTTCAAAGCCAGCCTCCGCAAGTTAGTGAGACCCTGTCACTAAATAAAAAATAAAAAGGATTGGGATGTGGCTCAGTAGTTGAGAACTGGGTTCAATCTCTGGAACTAAAAACAAAGGTAATTCTTTCCATGTATCACTAGCCAGAATAATAGCTCCAAAAGCATAGAGAATGAACTACTTTCATTGACTACTTGTTAATTCCATTTGATTCCACTGAGAATGTAGAGAAAATTAGCCCAGAATCCTCCTGAATATTTACTTGCATTGATTAGAAACCTAGCCTTGGGTTTCTCCTATTTGCAGTGGTCATGGTCAATGGAGATCATCGGATTGGGATCTTTGCCAAGAGGGCAATTCAGGCTGGTGAAGAGCTCTTCTTTGATTATAGGTAAGAAGGTCAGCAGTGATCCTTGGGAGATGGCCCTGGAGGCAGAAGAGGTGGCTGTGGGAATTGATTTGGGGGGCTTACTGTGGGTACAACAGATGAAGGAGAGGGTCTGAACACCTCAGAAAAATATTGTTGAAAACTGCTATTAGGAAGCAGGAGGGGAAGTGAAACGGGAGGGGACCCCATCTTGTAAATCATTTTTTCTTTTCTCCTTCCTACTCTGGGACAGGTACAGTCAAGCGGATGCCCTCAAGTACGTGGGGATAGAGAGGGAGACCGACGTCCTTTAGCCTTCCTGGCGCTGTGGTAGCAGCACTGTCTTTGCTTTCATGCACACACCACTGCTGCTTGAGTTCCTGCACTGTGTGTCTTCCACGCCGAGAAACCCCAACCATTCCCTCTGTAGTGAGGCCTCAGCTGTGTCCCACAGGCACAAAACCATCTCAGTGAGAGGGGAGCCAGGCAGCTAGGGCTTGGTCTCCTAGGAGAGAGTTGCAGAAGTGGGAGGCTGCTTCTCAGGCCTCAAAGGAGGGCACGGGCCAGGGCAAATGACTGCTTGATTTCTCCTCAGCTTCCCAAGCTGCAGGCCTCAGGAATCAACTTAGGCAGTTCTGAACAGGCTCTGTCTTTTAGCTTTCCCAGCCAATGGTCCTTATGCAATTGGGTGCCAGACATAGCTGAGTGAAATCTGGTCTCTGGAGCCTACAAGTGCTCTGGGTTAGAGGTGAGCCTGGCAGGCAGCACACACTGAATTCAGAGGGAGATGGGTCACTTTCCTACCTCTTTCCTCTGGCAGGGTCCAAACCAAAAGGGTGTGGGTTCTAAGCACAGGGATTCAAGGCTAGAAGAGGGAAAGCTAAGTGCCACCCTCCCATGGACAAGGGGAGAGCCAGCTTGATGACAGCAGTTAAATTGCCAAGCGTGGTCCAACAGACTTTGAGAAAGACTTCCTTGTATATTCTGGAGGTGAATGGGTAACTGTTTTCAGATTCCTGGGAGCAGGTGCCAGTATTGCTTCCAGAATTCTAGCTCAGCAACTGCAGGCAGGCTTTGTGCTGCTACTGACCAAATGTGGGAGGCATGTCTGGCAAGAGAGAGCACTCTGGTCTGCTGGATCTGTAGTTCTTTTTAGGCCTCTGTGTTCAGAGAGGCCAGAGTTGCTTATCTCCTCAGGGTAGAGGGGCCCAGGTAGATAGACTAGAGGGAAAGGTTGTTGGTGTGATTTACTTCCTGTCTGTGGCACCTGCTGTTTAGAAAAGTGGGCTGGCAGTATGTGTTTGCGGGTGGGTGAGGGGCACAATTGCACATGTAGGATGGCAGCACAGAGCAGGGCAGACTGGCAGAGGGTATTGCAGTGTTGAGAAGAAGCAGGCAGACCACCTGTCCCAGTCTATGGTGTCATTCTCTCTGGGATTCATGCAGAGCAAAGCACTTTATTTCTTTAGAAGTTCTGTAGATTGGGGTGGAGTTTAAGCCAAGGCCTCTGGGGTCCATGCCCAAATCCCACTTCTCAAGAGAGGGGAAGAAAGGGGTAGAAGAATCTCCAGTCTGTCTTATTTTCTAGGGGAGGCAGGAGGAGCTGATGTGGCACAGAAAATTTATTAAACTGGAGCTAGCAAGAACTGCCCCATGTCTGTGGCTGGCGTGCTGAGCTGGCTGAGCTTTGTGCTGGGTAGAAAGGACTCAGGTGGGCAGGTACAGATTGGCCTAGGGAGTGTTGGGATGGGGAGCGGGCATCCCCTCTTCTTCCTGGGGAATCCAAGCCACTCTTCCCCGTCTGTGCTGCCCACTCCCTTACTCCCACCCCAGTAGTTGTCCCGTGGAAGAAGTGGGGCTGTCTCTGGCCAAGTTGCCTCTTAGGGATTTGTGTAAAATGTGCATACACACACACACACTCACTCACACTCACACTCACATAATCTCACCACAGTGGTGGGCACTGCACTCAGCACACACCCAGCCAGCTCCCGACGGCAGCCTCTCCCGCCTGGTTGGGGCAGCCCTCACCATGATTCCGAAGTGTACACCTGCTGTGGTTTGTTGTAGTCATTGTATCGGGGATACCCTCAAGCTGAATTACTCATTATTGGGGAAAACCAGAGACATATAAAGAAGGAGTCAGGTCTGTTTGAAATGTCAGGGGCTGATGGTAAGGAATAGGTGACAAAAATTTATTTCCAGACTTTGAGTTAGACTGACCCCCACCTTTCCCTCAGCAAGCAGAAGCACTGGTCAATCCCCTTCTTCCCCAGCTGCAGACCACTAATACTTATATTCCTCCAGCATTCCCATCCTTTGTCCCTGCTGTCCCCTACCTTTAATGACGGGTCTCAGCTTCTCCCCCCCACACCTAAGAATTGACTGTGCAAGGTGATGGGACTTGGGGGAAGGCTGGTGTACATGTGGCTTTACTGCCAGTGAATTTCACGCACTTTAAAGTCCTGTGGCTTGTGACCTCTTATCTAATAAAGTGTTAGAATCCATGTTGGCAAGTTGTATAGTGTGTGCTTTGGGACTTGGAAGGACCCAGGGATGGTGGGCTTCAGCATTCTGATCCCCAGTATCCACAGAGATCAAAGGGGAAAAGTGGGTGGTCATCATGCAAGAGCCAGTCAGGCCCCTGGCAGGTGGTGCAAATATTCTGAGAACTCTGCCTAAAAATTCCTGAGCCCTCAGATTAGTTCCTTACAATCACCCCATTTATCCCCTAAGCACGACGACAGCCACCACACACACACACACACTGGGGCTCTGCCACTCTGCTTTATTGGGCTGGCACGTAGTCAAGGGCACAGCTGGCTCCGCCCTGCTTCAGAGTGGAGGCCAGAGAGCGGCCTGTGAGTGACCAGCCACACTCGTGAGACATCTGACACAGGAGACGCTCACTACGAACTGTGGGCACAGCACAGCACAGAACAGGACAGCCGACTGAATTTTTCTTTTATATATAAACAGATAATTTAAAAAATTAGAATAATATAGAGTTCCTCTAGAGAGAGACTTTGCAACAAAAAATATATATAAAGAATATGACCTCCTGGGCAAACAAAGAAGCATCTCTGAGCGAAGGAAAGAGGGCTCCTCATGCATTGGAGAGGGGGCCGAGCCGTGGACAGGCACCAAGGCTATTGCATATCTTGGAAAAGGATAGAAAAGCAGAGAACTGGGTAGGCAGGGTGTCTGCATTATTTTCTCTACATTGATTGCAAGGGTTTTTATGGCTTTGGCTAAAGCATGTGAAGCAGCGGAGGTACTAAGGTGCTAAACTGAGGCCTCTTGGTCTCTGTGTAAAAACAAAAAAAGGGGTGGAGGACAGCAGTGAAGCCCTCCTCACCCCCAGCTGAGAGGAAGCAGATGGAAGACTTTCTGTAGGGCAGGAGGGAGGCTGGGGGATGTTGTAGCAGCCTTCCCCCCCCCCCCCCGTGCCCTGTGCAGCCCTGTGATTCTACACATCTGTCCCTGCTGATAATGTACATGGATGGGAGGCCGTTAATCTCCCCTACACTCTGTTGTTAATCCCTGGCAAGGGCTGGGACAGGAATGGCAGGAAGGGCCTATCTCAACCCCATGAGGCTTCTCTTTTGGAGCAAGCAAACACCAGGGACCTGGGGAAACAGATGAGCAGGGCATTGGTTTAGGCAGTGAGGCTTGGCCACTCCCTTTGGTCCCATCTGTAGCTCTGCCCACCAAACTTGGCAGGAGGGGTATCCTCTGGATGAGCAGAGCCAGCTAAGAGGAGCCAAATGTCCCTGATAGGGTGGGGGAGAGACAGGAATTGGGGAATCCAGAGGAGTTGGACTTGGCCCCTGAAGCCCTTCTCCTGATTCATTCAGATCTGGATTCTTCCAAGATCTGGGGTAGGTTCTGGTCCCGGGGGCCTGGACCAGAGGCAGGGGCAGGGGCAGGGGCTGGAACTTGGGTGGGAGCTGGTGTGGGGGTGGGGGCCTGGGCAGGGCCCGAAGTAGGGAGGGGAGGTTTGCTGCCAGAATGGTAATCATGGGTGGCCTTGGGCTCATTGGTGTGATAGGAGCCCTTGTAGCGATGATTTTGCAGATAGAAGAGCACCAACATTCCCACCAGCCCCAGCAGCAGGAAAGCCACCAAAACTGAATGAAAGAAAAGAAACAGGGGGAAAGACCTTTGGGGTTCAGCTATACATCACATATAGACACATACTTTTGGCCAAAAGCATTCATGTAAGACTATACAACCACAGCTATACAACCACAATAAGCTGTTAGATAGGTTGAGTTCTTGGTTTATCCTCTGCCAACTTCTATTTCTGGTATTCTCTTTTCATATCCCTGGTATTACCCCAATTTCTAATCTCTCTAGACGTATACCCCTATTTTTTTCCTCAACCTTTAGCTATGGCTGCATTTTAATATTTCAATTAAAATTCTATGGTGGGCTGGTTGCGGTGGTACATTCCTGTAATCCTAGCAGCTCAGGAGGCTGAGGCAGGAGAATTGTGAGTTCAAAGCCAGCCTCATCAACTTAGCAAGGGCCTAAGCAACTTAGCTAGATCCTGTCTCTAACTAAAATATAAAAAAGGGCTGGGGATATGCTCAGTGGTTAAGCACCTCAGTACCAAAAAAATACCAAAAACCACCATGGCCTGGGGTTGTAGCTCAGTGGTTGAGCGCTTGCCTTGCATGCGGGAGGCACTGGATTTGATCCGGAGCACCACATTAAAAAAATAAATAAATAAAACAAAGCTAGGAGGCTCGATTGATATTCTTAAAAAAAAAAAAAAAACATACAAAGAAAACTCTGTGCTGAGGCTGGGGGTTGTGGCTCAGTGGTAGAGCACTTGCCTAGCATGTGTGAGGCACTGGATTCGATTCTCAGCACCACATAAAAATAAATCAATAAAATAAAGGTATTTTGTCCATCTACAACTTAAAAAAGAAACTGTATGACATGCTCAAACATAAAAAAATCTCTAGCAAATCATATACTACCTTCAGCATGGCCTGTCTCATCCTTCTTTGTACCATCACACCTCTAACTCCTTTGCCACCCCTCAGCATTGGGGACAGGGGCAAGGAGGGAATGCTGACAGTCAGGGTAGTTTGGGGAGGTGCAATTAAGTGGTCACTATACTTACAGCCTAAAAGTATGGCGACCCATCCATCATCATGGTAGTACGGGAAGTCTACAGAGAAGAAAGCACCAGTTATGAGATACTTCCTATGTTTCTCTTCCCTGTCATCCCTCCCTTCTGTGTCCAAGAGATGACGTACCTGGGGGCAGATACCAGGGATCAAGCTCAGGTGGCACCTCTGAGACAAGGCGTGGCATAGCTCCACAGTTAGATTCGGACAGTTCTCCCTGAACTCGAAGGGCCTCTGCTAGCTCAGCAGTCATGGGCCGAGGGGCTCGGAAATGGGTCTTGAGTGGAGCCACATTGTTGAATCGAACACCAGACAGGCAGCCTGAGAAACCTGGGGTGTTGTAACGCTGGATCTCTGGATCAATTACACCCGTCTCTAAGGGAGAAGGCCCAGAAGAAGAAGGGTTTGAATCACTCGGAAGCCTCTTGTCATCAATCCTTCTGTTCTCATCACCCACGTATTCTTCTCGCCACCCTCACTGCCATTCCCAGGTCCTCCCACTCCTTGAGGCTCCAGGGACTTCCCCCATAGCTCATCCTCACCCACAGCTTACCCATCACACGTCCTAGATACAAGGCTTTAGGCGAGTCCAGCTGGCTGTCTACCAGCAGAGAGAACTTCTGTTCTGTCAGCGGGAAGTAGTCCACCTGAGGCAGGGATGGGGACAGTGAGGGAGGGAGGACCTTGCAGGCACAGCCAAGACCACAAGGGAACTCTTATTCTATCCAAACCTGACCTGCTAGCAGGTGAGTCCCTACTCAATCTGAAGTGGGCAACCCCTGGGCCCAGATGTAGGATTTGGTACCTGATATGGTTTGATTAGAGGTGTTCTCCAAAAGTTCCTCTGATGGCACAGTTATTCAGATGAAATTATTAAATTATGAAGGCTTATAACCTAATTTGTCATTCTAGTTTGAATGGACTGACTGGGTGTAGGCAGGTAGGGTACCACTAGAAAAGGTGGGTCACTGGGGGCATGCCCTTGAAGGGTTCATCTGCCCCATGGCCCCTTCCCCTCTCTGCTTCCTGGCCAGCTGTAAGTGGAGCAGCACTCCTTACAACACCCTTCTGCCATGATGTCCTACCTTGCCTTGGGCCCAGAGCAATGGAATTGGTCCACCAAGGACTGAATCTCTGGAATTTTCCCTCCTCTAAGTACTTCTTGTTGTTCTTTGTTGCAACACAAACCTGACTAAAACAGAAATTGATACGGAGAAGTAGGGTCATTGCTGTGGCCATGCAACTAGTTCAGAAGCCTTTGGAACTGGTTTGTGGGAAGCATTTGGAAAAGTTTAGAGATGCAGGCTAGAGAAGTCTTAGAATGTTGTAAGCAGAGATAAATGAGTGATTCTGGTGGGAGTTCAAAAGAGCAAATGCCAATAGGAATGTAAACTGTGCTCATGAGGTTTCAGAGGGAATGAGGACTATTGGGAATTGGAGTAGAGGCCATTTGCGTTATCATCTGGCAAAGAACTTTTCATCATTTTGTCCATGTCCTGAGACTTTGAGACTGAAGTTAAAAGTAATGGACAAATTAGTCTGTTGAAGGAAATTTCATTTCACAGCATTCATTCAGTGGCAAAGATATTGCTGGAAGCTTTTGGCCAGGCTTACTGTGAGAATTAGGAGCAAAAAGAAGAGCTCACAGATTTTAAAAACTTGCAGCTTGACCAGAAAGTACATTTAAAACTGGGGCCCAAAAAAGTTACACTTGTTGAATAGATTATAGCCCCTGAAGAGATGCTAGGTACTTTGTACAAAGACAATAGGAAAGATGGTTTGAGGACATCTCCAGGATTTGCAAGACTATACTCATTGCAGGCTCAAGGATGTGTAAAGGAAAATTCCCTTGAGAAGAGATCATGGGGATCTCTTCTCACCTGAGCAAGAGCTCACCCTTGTACAAGGGGAGCTAGGAATTTGTTTCACTGGGTTTAGTTGCCCAAGCACTCAGAAGCCACTGCAACCATTATTCCAGAGGACCCAGACCCTGCACAAGCTGGTAGCCAACTCTGGCATCATTCATGAAGTGCTAGTTCTGCAGGAATGCAGGATCCTGGAATTAAGGAGTCATGAGGGTTTCCACTGAGATTTCAAAGGAAGGCCTAAAAGGCCAGGCAAAATGTAGCAGGGTCAGAGTCCCTGCAGGCTGCCTCTAAAAGGGTGATGCATGAAGCTGTGAAGGTGAAACCAAAGCTGGAGTGGAGACCCTAAAAATTCACAGATGTCAGTAATGTGGCCTGTCTACCAAGAAAAGGTGCTGGCTGCAGAGAGTCAGGCTAAAAGAGAGCCCACATGTGCTGCAACTGGCAAGGCCAAAGGGATGGGACTGCCCAAGTTCTTTGGAGAGAACATCTCCAAACCAT